GCAAAGAAAAGATAGATCAAACAATGAAATAAATAAAAAATTAGATGTATACCTTGCGGAAGAAATGCTATTGAATTATCACCAAATAAGGAACAATTAAATCTTACCAATAGTGAAGATTTCATACAGGACCACTCCAAAGCTCCATCTAAAGATGAAATATAACGATAAACGTGAGTAAAATTGTTTTTTTTTTTTATAGTTTACACCAACTGGAGAATGTCCAAAACCATTTCCCAAAAAAATTTAAAATATTGAGCCCAAACAAGTGTTTCTTTATCATAAGAGGTATGTCAAAGAAATAAAATTTCCAGTTTGAAAAATTGATTCTGCAGTTTCCAACAAGAAGTTATAATCGCTTGGTGCCTCATTACGATGAAGCAGGGAACAATTCACTTACACATCGCTTTTCGTAGTGTAACGTCCGTGCTCCAAGGATTCAAGTGCTGTCCATTTTAAAGGAAGGCGACCCTGAAAAAAACCGATAAATCAGTATAAATATATATATATATATATAAATGGATAGTTATGCATTTCTATTTTAATTTGTTTTATTTCTACAAGGTTACTGTTTCTTACCTCCGACGTCCTTTCGTAAATATCTTTGCTGCGCGTGTTTCGCGCCATCCCAAAATCTGTGACTTTACACGTCAAATTTTCCCCCAAAAGGACGTTCCTCGCTGCCAGGTCACGATGGATAATCTATAAATAGATTTGTAGCGATTATGATTGGATAATTTGGTAGAGAGTGCCAAAGTTGATGAGTGCCAATTTAAGCAGATGTCAAGATCGTTAAAAATATTAATAAAAGTATTTTTTGTCTCTGAGTTCTAGGTTCACACCATGCTTCTTTCCAACCCACAAACTTAACACCTTCACTTGCTCCCCGTTTGTTCTTCGTTTCAACATAGATTTGGTTCTGGGTTGCGTTTGGACTTGAAATAGCGCCACGTTATGTGATACGCTCGAACTCCAGCCAGAAAATCTTACCTTTGCCGCGCTGAGATGTGCCATTCCATCGGCAATCTCCCAGGCAAATTTCATCAACAGATGTGATGTAAGGCTTCTTTCGGGGAGTTGTTGTATGTCGTAGTAATCATCCCTTAAACCTCGTTTCTTTCTCAAGAAGCCCAGTAGATCACCGTAAGGGGCATATTCAGTGATGACACATAATGGCTCTGAGAAACAGCAATGGAAAGATTCGCAATAAGATGGAAATCAGATATTGTAATAACACCAAAAATAGAGTGAGAATCTCAATTATGTTGAAAGAAATGCTAAATTTAGGGGGCTTAAATATCATTTGTTATTCTGAGAGTGGGTGACTCTTAATGGACTGACAACATCTGTTAACCCTTTAATCCCCATGAGTGACCAAGACAGAATTTCTCCTTACAATATCAATACAATATTAAGCAGACAAGTGATGAGAATAAAGAAATAAATCAGAGATTTATAAGTTGATCCAATACCAAGTTCTCTAAACCAACGTCACAAGAACCGTATGGCAGACAGTTAGGAGAATTACAAATGAGATCTTGGGAGTTAAAGGTTAATGTTATTGCAATAAGAGAGGGAAGATTTCTCACCAGATTTTGTGACGCAAGCCAGAAGTTGTACCACGTGTTTATGTGATAATAGTTCCTTCATCACCTTTAGTTCTGATAGCAAATCTTCGCGTTGTGATCCATTTGAATTTTCTGGAAATAAGAAGATTTTCTTATTGCAAATTCCTCAATCTGTAAAGTCCTTAAAAAGTACGACAATTAATTCTTTTTTAAAACTTTTTTTACGTGGCAACGTTAGATAAACGCTGCGATTGAGGAATTATATGTGCAAAAACAGACATTCTAAGGTTAAACTTATCGAGCTGATATTTCAGTTTCAAATAAAAATTCAAATCAATTATTTATGCAACTATTCGTGTTTTGAAGCAGTCGCGGATCAATATCAGTATCTGGACAACTGCCCACCTACCCCCTCCCTAACCCAACATTAACCTTAACTTGTTGTCAATTGACGGTTGTTGAGTTAGGGAAGGGGTAGGTGGGCAGTTGCCCAGATACTGATATTGATCCGCTGTCGCTATGTTAGTTTAAGTTCACTTACCTTTTACTGTCTTAACTGCGACTATCGCCCAACCTCCTTCCTCTGTGACATCCAGTGCGTAACCCTTTTTGACAAGCCCAAACTCCCCTCGGCCGACGGTGTTTTCAATTCTAAGTCTGTCCCTGGAAATTTCCCATTTCTGCGATGGAGGAAGAAGGAAACTTGTTTCTGGCAAGATACATCTTTTAACTCCAATTGTAGGCGGTTCGCCGTGAGTAAGATGCGAGTACATTTGCATGTCAAACATCCCTAGTCCAGTTGTCACGTGTCCATTGTCGTGTCCCAGCTTGTCATCTGGAAACGAGCGTTTCGAGCTTTTGAGGCTTTTTGAGCCTCGGCCGGTGGGTATGTCATTAAGATGGCTGTACACCGAAGACCCCTCTGAAACATAGCAGTAATCATGTGTCACAGGGTTCCTGCTGTATCTGGGTTTCTCATCCTCCATCGAGTATCCAAGGTTCAAGTTCTTCTGAAAGATGTCCGTTATGGATTCATATTCATTCAAAACCTGCAAAATCAAAATAGATTTGATCAAGAACTGGTATAGGGCTTGCGATTGTTTGCTTGAGCATAGTTGACTGTCAATCTTTATACCAAAAAGTGTATGACAGCTTTTGATAATTAAAATATTTCTGCGTCAGTGTTAATGGTGGCATTTCCATTTGACGTCAAAGTAACGAAATGTAATTGCTATCTTAAATAATTAATTGACAGACTCTCAGTCCTTTCTAAGACTTTGCTTGTCTAAGGTGCGAAAGTTCTTTCGTCAAGTAGTCTGTAAATTGTTCTAAGAATTGTCTTTTTGATTACTTTACCACACAAAGAACAGTTGATTTAATTGTCTAATATAGGAAAAGTATTTACCGATGTTTCTTTTAGCTCCACCATACTCGCAAGATAAGAAGGATTACCCAGTTCACTGTCAACATCGCTGTAAGGAAATACAGATGAATTGTTCAAACAAAAGGCGATGATAAGTGAATAGATAAATAAATTTAAAACATTTTGGCTTAGTCGATGATTAAACGTTGCTAAATTTCCAGTAAAATACAGTAGAAAACAAGTTATGTTTAAAACCTGTTTGGTATCTTAGAAATGTTTCTTTAAACATAATGCATCTGTTGCAGTGATCAGCAATCGAAGAAATATTAGAACCTTCACGAACGCTCACCTTTCAATTTCTGTTTGCTTATCGCTATCACCACTGCTTTTGGAACAATGCTTGACGATAACTGAAAAGATAAATTTATTGATAAGTTGATATCAGAAAAAAATGAAACTTGTAAAATTTCTAAAATGAGATCATGAAGGTAATTTTTTCCAATGATAGACTGGGGTATAGACCTAGTAAATCTAAAATGCTACAGTGCTATTAACTCTTATAAACTAATTCAGTGGTTTACCTATTGCATTTCCACTTTTTGGGGTAATTTGAGTTGTTGAAGCGCTAATTTGACGACTGGAGAAACGCGTGGGCCGCTATTAACCTTAGTGGTTTCATTTACTTGAACAAAGGTCAGGACGAGCGATACAGACTTCTGACAGGCAGTTATCTAAAATGGCTCGGTATAAATGTCTTTCAAATAATAAATAATAGAGTTGGTATGCTTCTTCACAAGTAATTTCTCCGTTGAATTCCTCAAATAATTTCACTGATGTGAAAGTTTCCTGTTTCTTTGTCCAAGAAATCAAACAGTTTTATAAACAAATGCAGACAAATACCTTGAAAAAAGTGACCTCTGTATAAATTTTATCACGGGCTGCTTTGTAAGCTTATCAGTTCGAGTGATTTTAAACTATATCTTTAAAAAACTAGCAAACTTTAATACGGATGCTCGCCAACAGTCATTTTCGTAGTTTTAAGATTCTCTAATGCACCTAGCGTGAAAGAATTTTGTTGGGTTTCACGATGACGTCAAATCGCACGATTCAAACACGCCTGCCTGCACGCTTGTCAAATTTGAACTTTGTTCGCTGAATCAGAAATTGAATAAAACCTTTGTACTAACTGTGGCTGTTTCAGTTGGACGAGTTCGCGTTGTTGTAATTACGTTCTCGCGTAATGTCGTGTTAATGGGAAAATTTTTAAGCTTGTTATGGTCCACACGTTTCAAATAATGCTTTTTGAAGCCCTAGAAATGTTATTTTAATGGACGTGTGGTGATAGCACACTGGTTCGTTCCGAAAGTTGCCAACTTTGATCTTCAGGAAGGTTCTACATGTATAATGTTTGCTACCAGAAGAAAGAAAAAAAACCTAAGAAAGGGACCTAAGGTATGTAACATTGTACATATTTTAAAGGCATATGTATCTCCAAAAAAGTTTTATCTGTTATTAAGCTTTATTCGAAAGCATGGTGGCACTTTTTTGTACGAATGCGTCAAGTTGTTGTTGTTGTTGTTTTAGACTTGAAAATCCGCGACGACAATTATCGGCTGTGGTTCGAACGTATTTGAACAACTTGTGACGCAGCAGTGTGCGAACTTTCTTTTGGGAGCTTAATTCTTGGTCGTTTTCTTCATGAAAAAAACATCGGTATTTTGACATTTGGTGCGCGCGGTGTTTAAAAGTTGTGTTTAGTAGTTTGAGTTCGAGATATTCTCTTTTACCCAGACTTCTATACCTTAGTGTGCCATTCCTTTGTACAGAGTATGACTAAGTTGAGCTTATTAATTAGATGATTCAGTCGGTCATTCATAAATTTCCGAATAACTTACTTCTTCTGGTGATTTTCCAAACCACGAACATGAAAATAGGTGTTACAAATGCCAGCGCGACGAACCATATTGGTGCGTAAAAGGAAAATATGCCTGTTCTGTTTTCACTGGTCTCAGCTGTTGAGTAGAGTGCAAAAACATAAAATGTCACAATCTAGAACATATTTGGAAATCATGAAAGTAATGTGAGCGTTGCATCAGATTACGTTGCAAATTCCAAATTCCTTCAAATTCTTATTAGTTGCATACAAAGCATTGGAAATTTCCTGATATTGTTTATATATCAATATCGGTAAAAGGCAACATGTAGATTTTCTGCGCGAATGTATACTACATTTGCTTTGTGTAGAAGTACACTGAATTTTTTTTCTTGTCATCCATTCCTACTGCATTAACGCGCAAATACCTCTTTTGTTTCCGTAATATTATGCTTGACAATTAACACCTACCTTGTCTGGCAGTAGGCAGTTCTGTTGGAAGTTTTTCGGTTTTCCTTTTCGTGACGGTCGATTCTGCATAATTGAACGAAAAATCAGGATTAATCAGTTCTTTAATTCAGCAAAACTGAATGTTTTCTCTTTCCATGTTTACATTTGGAGATATTTCCTTCCTGTTAAGACTTTGAACTCTAAGGGTGACCAGCGTCTAATTTCTCCTTACAGTAATAATGCCGAATCACTCATTTGGATCACGATAGTGAGAGAATTAACCGCAAACAAACGAAGCTCTTAATCGTCAAACAAATTCTCCTTGTCAGCACCTCAGGAAATATAGAGAGCACAGTATAGAGAATATGCATTATGATGTTAATTATCGAGTAAGTCATTCCCGTTAAAACTTACCTTGTTTTTTCCTAGATAGGAGGGTTAAACTTGAAGTGGGTACCGTGGGCATCTTTGTTGAAATTTGCGCTATAGAACACAAACAACACGAATACGAAAGTCAAAGAAAAATCTGCGAGACGAATTTGCTAAAAATGTTTACAAATTTAGAATCGATCTCAATGACGGAATTGAAGAATACAAACGATTTTTCTCTTGAATGTGTAAAAGGCGCATCTTACGTGGCACTTGAGTATGATAAAAACTATATTTACCTTTAGGATTTTTTTCGGTTCTAAATTTCCTTCGCAACAGGGGGAAACTTTCGCCATATTTGTTCCATGCCGACACAGCCATCCAGTACATTTTGTCCCAGTCAAGTTCTAGGGTGTAACTCAGGTTGGTGGTATTCCACAAGCCTAACCTTTCCTTAGTGTATGATTCAAGTCTTGCCACAAACCCCCAAACATAAACAGTGTACTTTAAAATGGCGCTTTGTCCATTATAAGGCTCCCTCCATTGCAGTGAGCATTGTTTTCCACTAACACTGATGTTTGTTACTAATGGTGCATCCGGTGGCCCTAACACAAAACAAATTGATGAGGGAAAAAGAGCGGTTGATGAGAAATTGTACATCTGTACATAGATGCAAATTTTAGCAATTTGGACAATAGTAGATTTACTCATAGGTTGTGAAACTTGAAGATAGACAGGATTTTAGAAAGTTGAAAGTAAGAGAGGAAATGAAGCCAGAAGAGGTGCCCATCGTTTGAGAGGGAGGCATCTATGGACATGCGTAAAATGGTTTTTATTGTACCTGCCAGTAGAGTCGTGGCACTGACATTGGATGGCTTTCCATAACCGACCTCGTTTCGCGCTTGTATTGCCACAAAATAAGTCCTGTTTTTCATCAATTTGTTTATCACCAACGATGTTTCCTTTACTTTCTTGTATTCCTGTACCAGTGTATTTGAAACATAGTCTACAACTTTTACGAGGTAATCATAAATCTTGATGCTGTTGTCTTCAATGGATGAAAACCAGGTTACGTTTAACGACAGTACATTTGGCACCACCACGACTTTGGGGGGCTTGGGCGGATCTAAAAGAATGAAATTGATGATGTATAATGGACGATGAGTAATATTTACAGACAATAGGTAATCAGTGACCGACTGGCCGTCTGTCTAACTGACTAGCCGACCGAGCGAGAGGCTGGCTAAATGACTGTCTGATGGACCGACTGGCCGACTGATGAAATGATTAGCTGAAAAGCTGTTTGACTAACCGTTTGAATGACTGACTCACGGAGTCAATGAATAACTGTCGGAATGGTAATGAATGGTAATGCATGAGAAAAAACAAAATCACCATATGATGTGTGCGATCGAAGCAAATAAACAGCCAAACAATGGATGGACGAGTTACCTCATGCATAAGCGAACGATTAAGACAGTAAAATAAGTCGCGAATGGTTCTATAGAGCTTTACCTGCTTCAAGTGTTTTAACAGTGACATTCGCGGCTTGTCCATAACCGGCAATATTTCTTGCTTGTAGCATCAATATGTATGTTCTGTTTTGTTGCAAATATTTAAGAGTGAAGAATGTCCCCTTAATTCCACTATGTGTCTGAAGCACATGTCTGTTTGCATCAAGCAGGGTAATCATAAACTCTATTGTGCGGCTGCTATTTTTTACTTTTGTCATATTCCATGTGATGTCGAATTTAAGCACGTCCGGTGTCACTTGGTATATGATAGGCGGACTGGGTGCATCTGAAATAGATCAGAAGTTTTATGAAAAAGAAATCTTACCAGTTTTACACATACTTAAGAATCAATCAATGCACTCTTATAAACTATCACAGATCTATAACTTCATCGAATCAACAAGCCATCCTCCTTGCTTTTTCAATCACGAGGAAAAACTAGCTAAAAAAGATGCCCAGTCTCTCTTTCAATCCTATTCGCAAAACACGAATTTTGAACATTTTTCATAGGCATCTCAAAAGAAACTGTTGCATTTTACTTACAAATTTGAAATATTCTCATATGATACCAGGCAGCTCCTTTGATGTTTGTCGCTCTACAGGAATACGAACCAAAATCGCCCGCAGTCTTAGGTCTCAGCGTTAGCGTGCCCATTTTATGCGCAGAGTTCACACCATGCACAATCCGTTGGCCATCTTTGAACCAAGTAAAGTTTGCCAGAGGCTCAGCATCTGCAGAGCACCTCAGGGTGGTCACCTTCCCAATCCATGATTGGAATAATGGCTTTGAAGAAGCTGTTTTGTTGATGCGAGGCTTATCTGAACACAGGGTAGGGAGGAAAAGTTTTGAATTGGTACTGTGTCTTGGGATTTATCTGTGAGTTACATCTGAGAGTTTGCCACATTCGCGTGGCTGTCTTCACGTGCCACGATGGTATGTTTAATTTTTGAACGCCCTCGTCAGGGTTTCTCAATTTGAATCTTTAATAACTGACTCTACGTGTCACTTCTTTTCTATAAGTTAACGACGATTTAGCTGAAATATGTTCTTTTTTTCCAGTCATTGCGACATTATGGTTTGATCATTGGTTTTGAAAGGTTCCAGCAAAGATTGAGATTGGTCTCACATTTTGAAAAGTAACATGACAAAAAAAGTGTTTCTCTACTTACATCGCACAACTCTAACAACCATGCTGTGAGACACAGACCCAGCTCGGTTTTTCGCGGTGCAGGTATAATTACCAGCATCTCTTTGTTGTAAATTTGGAATTTGAAGCACAGCAGATGAACTGCTGTTCTGAAGAGGAGTTCCATCTTTACTCCAAGTGATACTGGGTCTGGGGTCACCACTTGCGTTGCAGTGCAATCGTAGGTCATCTTCCTCATCGGCATTTACGTTCGCATTCGATCGACGAGTAAATTTTGGTGGGATGGGATCTTTGAAGTTAGAAGGAAAGAATCACAATTAAAAAGATTCGTGTAAATGGAATGTTATGACATTTTTGGGTTTTGACAAGTTAAATTATCATTCGAAGGAAGAAACTTAGGCCTTGACTTAAAAGGATCATGTTATGTGTTGTGAGTCTTGTCATGTCTGGCTAAGCCTGTTCCTTTACATCATTTACAATCCGTACTGATCTTCTCCACTCTCGGTCATCCTGGAGCATGTTAGTTTGTTATTGCCTGTTATATTATTTTATATCGCACCGAAATAACATTTCAAAAGTCATTATCAAGTTAAGGTGTTTTTTTTTTTTTTTTACATCGAAAAATATTACTGAACTGAGATGACATAAAGCTTAACGCGCACTGAAACACTCCACTTCAAAAGCGCGAAATTAAAGGCAACACAGACAGTGATTAAGTCTTCCTCGTAATGGCTCTTACCATGAACGAATAGATTTATTGGACCACTCCTTATATCGAGCCCATCCACCATCACCGTGCATCCATATGTGATCTGATCTGCTTTGCTCACATTTCGTAAAACGAACATTTGCTTACATCGATGCAGAGTAACATTTCCAATCCAACCAGTTCTGGATTTAATGGAAGTATCAAGTTTGGGGTTGGACGCTGCAATCCCTTTCTTTACTGTGATATACTTGTTCCTGATACGATCATTTCTGTCTGTTTGTCCCCAAATAATCTCTCCGAGCTGTTTCCAGTCTTGAAAATCGCCAAAACTCAGTTCCCAATGGAAAGTGACATCAGATCCCTCAACTGCAAATATTTTGGATGGAGGTTCCTTTGTAAACTTTGTCGCAGGATGAGCTGAAAAAGGATTGAGTTGAGCTCGTTATTCAGATGAATGTACTTTAAGCATTAACGTTTACTGTCAAAAAGAATCAAAATCCAGAATCTCCAAAGTTTATGAGGTCTTATTTCATACTCCTGACTGATCTAATATCGCGTCTTCGACTCATTACAGCTTTTTTTGTCTTTTGATTCTTTTTATACAATGTGCGATATAATACTCAACACATAACCTTTCTCGATTCATTTTGGCCTTCGATATTGTTCTGTGAACAGCTTATTTATGGTACATATTTTTCTACTAACTAATGGCAGTGATTTTCCGATTATTTTGCTGTTATCAATTTTCAATAGATTGTTGAAGGTAATAATGGATTGCAATGGTTTTACTTTGCTCAGTGATTGGTCGACTTCAAAACTCAATTCTCATTCCCAACCAATCAGACGAAAAGCTTAAAAAAAATCCACTAGCCGCTTACGTTTTCTCGCGCTTTAGGTGGTTTACTTGTTCATATTTCTTTTATGATTGGCTGAGATTACTTTGGTTCAGTTTTAAAGACACTACCATAAAGAAAATAAAACTAAATCATAGTAACTTACAGCCTGCGACGGTTGTGATGTGAAGGACACAGCAGAAGATAAGAACCGCAGCTCCTCGTAAAGACAACATCACTTTTCAGAATCTTTATAAAACAAATTCAGATCCTAAAGGGAAAAGATCACACAACTTGAACATTGAAACCATGAGTTGACTGGGTGTGTATTTGTTTTTCGTCCCTCTGTTGGCTCGGTTGTTTGTTCACCTATAGGTTTTTTTTGTCCTTGTAGGTATCTCTATCTTGGAAGCAATACAATGGCGGAGATTTGCTTTCACTGGTGGTAAACTCCTTCATTAACTCTATAAACATTTATTGAAGTTTCCAAGCATCTCTCATAATATTCACTCGGCAGTAATTAATCTTTTTGTTTTCTAGAAAGTTTGATTGTTTTTACATGAGGTGACTTTGATGTCACTGCAACAGTCGCGTGCCGGTGATAATTGACACGAATTTACTAGGGCATAAAATAAACACTTACTACATTCTTTCTGCAGATAAGCTAATTCTTGCTTTTCTCGCTGTGACATATTGCCGCTTAACGGCGTATGAAACTTATTGGCCTTTGATCAGTTTATCTCATTTTCACGCTTCATTCCCGATCCACGAAGATGACTTTCCAAGTGTTTAAGCCAATTAGGAACTTAAGTACATTTTGTGACCTGAGTTACTCGAAAGTTTGTCAAAATCTAGCCCCTCGCAAAAGTGACTCTAAAAGTCCTAGGAAGACTGATGCGAGTGGCCCTCGATCACTACACAGATCTTAAGGTGATATTTCTCTCTGCGCATGAAAAAACTGATAAGCAGTAGCTGCCACGAAACTTAAATGTTTCGTTGGAATTACATATTGTATGTATTTTCGAAATATCTTTTTCTTGCACAAAATCTACATCAAACTCCATTCCGACTTGAAACCTTTTCAATTTGCAGCTCTTTACTCTGAATTCCGGGTCGCTTGCTGTTAGCTTGCCATGTGAACGAGCTAAAAATGGGTTGGTTATGATCTAATGAAATGCATTTAGCATATGATGAAAAAAACTATTAATCCTGTTGGTATCAAGGTGGAAACTGACGTAATGATAAGGAAATAAAACTGCGAGAGAACCATACCTGTTCCAGCCAAAAGCAGGAGAACCTCCTACCTGCGTGCTATTCAAAGCGACGCAAAGCTTAAGAAGAGCTCTTTAAGTGAAATTATACAATGTACCAACGAACTTTGTCCTATTGGCACGTTATCATCTAATGACTAAAGAGCGAAAAATTTTTGCAGACAAGCAAATGATTAACTTGTCCTTACGATTCAATCTTTTCAGGCAAAATTAACAAGCGATCCAAGTTTGAAAAGAAACAGCTCTGCATTTAAAACAAGATAACCGATCCAAATCTAAAGGAAAATGGCTGTTTATGGCCTCTGGTGTTTATATGAAATTGCCTAGATTTTTCGAGAAGTACATTCGTGGAGTCCAATTTTCTTCAGTGTTTTTGGGGGTCTTCTAATTGAAAATCTATGAAGTGTTAAGTGCAGTTATTTGAGAAAACAAAGTTTTCTTGCCAAATAAGTTACACGCGTGTGCATGTCTTTTAACGCTTTTTATATTTCTGACCCAAGGTACTTGAAACTGTGCTAGCATCCATGGTGGTCTCATTGCGTGCAGCAAACAGAAATATGGATTCGTGCTAAAACTAAACATTACCAAAATTGTTCTAAATGAAAATGCGCATTAACGAAAAAACTAGGCAGAAAACGTAGAGCTTGTGTTTAAAGCATGCTGTTCCATAATAACAATCGTTTCGTGGAGTTCTTCGCATGCAGTTGGCCCCATCTAAAGAATTTATCGAAGACCAAAGCATGCCATTATGGACTGAAAAATTTGCTAGCAGTTGCAGTGGTGGAGAAAGACAAAATACTTACAGCCCAAGATTTAATACATACCTGATTTTAGTAGAATCAACACGGTGTTTGTATCTGTCTTAAGCAAATGATCTCCTCTTACAGGGACAAGATAAGATCGTTTTTCAGACAAGAAAACAGCGAAATGCAAGTTACATCTGACTAACGTCCGTGAAATATTCTCTTCGTGTCTCTATCGATTTTCTTCTTCCTTTTTTACTCAGACGGGTTGATGCCTTATAGAGACCTCAGCTCACAAAATCGATCTTTTGAGTTATTCACGTGTTCATACTTGGGCATGCACGCGACATCTCCATAAAAGCCAATCAAAGCCTTAAAATAACAGATTATGTAACAAGGGGAAACACACGACTTTAGCAAACTAAAGAAGAGCTCTCGTAAACTCGACACGCGAGCCTTTTTGAAAAACACTCCATTGTGACAGTAAATGCAGCAATTGGCAGGCAAAGAGACCACTTGCTTTATACATATATTAAATGACCTTTCAATATCCTAACCCTACAGAAGCGTTTTATAAATTTACTTCCTCTGTGTGTACGATGTTTGTTCAAACTAAAGACCTTGCGCAGGAACATAATGTGTATGAGAAGGAACTGTTCAGAAATCTTATAGCGAATATCGTTGTCACCTTGATCACTTTTTGACTACGTCTGACGTTTTCCTCTCAAGAGGAAACACCACTCTGTTTGCTGAGCTTTTCTTCGTCTTTTTCTTTTAAGTTCGAGAAAGGGTGTGGATTGAAGATACTTGCTGATTCGAAAGAAAAAATACGGTTTTGACTACCCCACACAGTGTGAAATACGGCTGAAAGTTTTAAAACCCCACGTACATCAACTATGATCTCACTGCGAAAGCGTGCGGAACTCGTAAAAGAAAAACAGCTTAGTTTCTTTCATCTTAGCAAAACAAATAGCGGTTTACTCGCCAAAAAAAATGTCTAATGATTTGTATTATCTCACACGACTTAAACGTTCAGAGCACAGCGTTGGTGCAGATGTGGTTATCATAACCGAGATGCAGGCACTCTATAGAAATAGAGTTACCTTTTCGACCCAGCCTCCTGTTCCTTACATAAAACTCTTCTGCGATTTATGCTGTCTTTTAGAGCGAGAGTCTAGTTGGAAAAAAACTTGCTCATTTTTGGAAATATATCTCCTTGTTTACTCACTGATCAGGAAGTTGACTCGCTTGTGATTTTGCCTATATCACTTTCGTCAGCTTCAATGCTTAGGATTATCTATAAACATGATTCTTGAAAAGCTCGAAAGCTTAAAATAACCTGTTTACCATGTTACTAGAATGTACAGTCTGTGGAACCGAAGATTTCTATTTGTTTCGGCGAACACTGCTTTTGACTTCCGGTATTTTGTGATAAGCTCATCTCCTCTCCACGAACAAGCGGTGTTTTCCTTTTAATGATTCTAGAGATTTCCTGTAACTGTGTCAGGTACAGGGATTTTTTTTTCTTCGAGTTGGCCAATTAGACATAAAAAGTTACATTGTCCACCATTTTTCTTCACAAGGTTTATTTCCATTGGGCATATTCTTCTCTTTTTTTATGTCGCGACAGCGTTAGCTTTTCCGGATTCAAGTAATTATGACAAATATTTTTTTCCGAGCGCCTTCATGTTGCAGTAAATTACCTTGAACACTAGTAACTATCTCAGCGCGCGTTCGCATTGAATTGGTTTGTAGCAGCAGGTTTTAAGCATTTTGCAGCCTCTATCACTTCACTTTTGCAACCAATTTTCCTCTCATGAATACCCGTGGGATAATAAACCCAAAGGACATAGACCAGGATTAAGTCGTCGGGTACGGAAATCGTTATGACTTGGCAGAAAATGCCTCCGTATGTATATAATTTATACTGCTAAAACGTTGTTTAGACGTTGTTTCAGCCCGAAATGGTAGAAGTGTTATGCAACATCACTATCTCATCACATTAATAAATTCACGGAGCCCATTAATAAAAGGCAACTGATGCAACAAAAGCTCATCGATACTAAATTAACTCAGTTCCTGACCATCTAACGCTTTTTCTTGTGTCTTAAGGAACAACCCTAATATTCGATTCCCAGCTTTACAACAACATCATCGCTTTTTCACACACCGCAAAGCGTTCAGCAGTTTTCACATACCTTTTGCTCGCTTTATATGAATTGTGGCCACGTTGATAAATGTAGAGGCATATGAGAAATAAAGAATAGCTTTCACTTACACCCAATAGTGGTGCGGTTTGTTGCGTGCGATCTTGTTGTTTCTGGTGGGATGAGTAGAAGGCGGGTACTGATCGTCTTACCACAGCGAAAACACGTTCAACAAGTTGGACTACTCATTTCCATCAAGATCTGTCGCTTACGAAAGAGGTTTCAAATAGCAAAATGCTATAATGTTACTCATTCTACCTGTGATTGGTTTAATCAACGTCGCCACAGCGGGCATTTCTGCGAAGCGACCTAACTTCTTCAATTACCGTCTTAAAGTCAACAAATCGTACTGATATGTTTTTTACAAATGCAGACCTGACCAAAATCCTTAAGTTTCTTGGTCCTCTTCCTGTTTTCCGTTAATTTCTTTTCTTCCTGTTCCTGTAGTGCAAGGTATGTTCGTTTTGCTGTTTCTTGCCAAACTTTCTGGAACGTACGGTAGGAGCACTTATCTTGTTTTTGAATCACAAATTAAAATTACAGAGTTTTGGATTAGATTTTTAAGGTGTCTTGGGAGACTGAAGTTAGACATCTTCAGAAAACACGATTCATCTTAAGAAGCAACTTAAGAACATTTCGGTATAGTGTTTCCTTTAACTGACATTACAGTCAATCAGGATCAGTTTTGCTGCATGTGCTTATGATGCAAACTCTAGGTGTTAGTAATCAGTGATTAATGAGATCAAAGGGTACGTGATGGCCACTAGTCGTGTATTGTCTATACTCCATAGCAATCGATAAATAATCGCACACAAAATCTTTTGAAACATCGTTGATCGAATTAATTACCCATTAAGCCATTTTACCTTCATGATCATATCTTGAATCACTGATTTAGTGGTTGTCAACCCAGTAGACAATTTTCGCATTTAACAAGATTGCACTTAAATTGTGTGTTGAAATTACGTTACAAATTGCAATTGAGAGACAAGGGAGTGCACTCAGAACAGCTGATTATACCTCTTGCAATCCCAAGAGGACAACACTGTTCAGGAAAGCCATAAGAACACATCGGAATCAAAGTGTAAAGGGGAAATCGTTCGTTTCACAACAATTTTGCTACCAAACTTCGTCTTCAACATAGGAGACAACGAAAATAACCAGCACCAATTTCCTTTATAAACCTAATAATCATTTTATATAGGCGTGGAATGATCAACTAATGTGATTAGCGTGGAACTGCCACACACCAAATAGTCTTAGACGTGAAAGTTTCAGCATTATCCCTCCGTCTTAAACAGACAGCGAAATGATGTGCCAACCTTGCTCGAATATCTCGCCCTTGCTAATTACTATTGAAGATTCTCTTTCAAGTTTTGAAACGAAGCCGAAAAAATACATTTGCCTGAATGTCGGACCACTCAGCGTGTTCAGCCTACTGTAAAAACACATGTTTACCGTTTTCCTACCTGTTAGAAAAATAAACACTTAATTCTAGCTTTCTTTCTATCATAGTAACATGAAGAGTACTTACTCAGTTAATAACAACCGTGTCCTTCAGAACTCGATTGTTTCGGTCCCTTACTTCTTCGTAACACCGTGTAAAGTGTAATGTTATCCAAGGTGGAAGAAATTACTTTGATTTCAGTGGAGAACGAATCATTAGGCACCGAAATCGTTTGGAAGCAGGGAAAGTTGCTCAGTGAAACACAATACGAGTAAAATGCCGACTTTTCTTTGTCTATCAAATTGCTTAGAAAGTCTTAAACTCTTTATGAACATAAGACACATTTTTCTTGTTATAATCTGCTGCAAGTAAGGGTTATTCTAGATCTAAAAAAAAACAGTTCTTACGTGTAATCTCCCGTGGACAAAAGAAAACAATCAGTAAGTTACTTACTGTGAGGCTGAGATCGTTTTTCTTTGTTTTTTTCTCTTTTTTGTTTCTATTTGTTGTTTTTGTTTCTTTGTTTCTTGTTCTTTTATCATTCCTTAATCAATCGTATCACACTTGCTGTCATTTGTTGCTTGGTTTTTCTTGGAACTAATTCCCTTTTGCCACACTTTAGTCTTATCAACCTTCTTAAAGTGTAAAATGTCAACAGATTTCGAAGGTAGGCAGTCTTTTGGTTTAACAGGCTAACCACTTACGATGTTTAACTGCATTCAACAGTTTGGACAAAATCAAGAATTTTGAAAGGAATTTATTATGGTGTAGCCAAGCTTGTAAACTTGAGTAAGCAGCATAAGTGTTTATTGAAAAAAGAATACCGATAGACTTGTGAGTCGAGACATGGGCAACATACAAAAAGTATTTGAAAGATAAGATGAATGAGTAAGAAACTTGTGATTAAACTCCTAGACCAACGAAAACTTGAAGCGCTCAATTTGTTACCTTTGTTTAGAAAGCGTTCTAACCAACATCCAGCGACGATGACCCCGGATATTTCTTGCACTGAAATTGGCCATAACCAACGAGCAGACTTCCTCATTGTTTTTGCACTTATCAACTGTCTGTCACTGTATGCTATTTAGGACTAAGAACTTTTTGGCCTCATAAAAAAAAACAAGTAGTTATTTTGGGTTGTTTTTTCATTCGAAGACTGCTTTTTGACGTCACACATTTTGCTCATCAAAAGTGATCGACCCTATCTAGCAATGCAAAGCAATGTAGGCAAATGAACGATCATCAAGACTTACCTTTTTCGAAATAAGAAAACGTCAGAAGTGGGATGGATTTTTAAAGAAATCAAATCCCAGATATAATTTGTTTTGCCTTCAAACTGATTTGCTCGCCATTCATTTACGTTCGCTCTTGTTCCTTTTTGTCATGTGCTGACACCTTTAAAACCCGGGGCCAGGCAACCGAACACAAACTGTCATCATTTCAAGTTAATAAACTCTAAACCTCTGTGCTGTGACGTTAGTCGGAAAGGATTCTTCATGCCAGTTTTGTGCTTCGTCATGGCGATCTTGGAGGTGGAAGCCACAATCGGAAATGTTACTCCTTAATTAATGGCTTGATCTTTCAACTAAGCTTTTGATTACAATGACAGCTACACGTTTCGGTGTTTTTTTTTTTTCGCAATTGCACTTGCGAGGACTTCCTTTGTTAAACAAAGACAGCTCTGTCAAATTTAATTGCCCTTGATTTACATGTGCATGATCGTGGCTAGGGTGTCAAAATTCATACAAGACGACGATGATGTAATTTTGATAATAGAACTCCATTGAGGAAAGAAAAAAAGTAATGCACGGTCTTGCAACAGTACTTAGGGCCCTCTTACACTGCGCTTACGCGAAACGTTATGGAAACAGTATATCATGTTGTTAGGGTTATCAGTAATATTACTTGTAGACGTATTGAATAACCGGCAAAATTATTTCGCAAACGGGCAGCGACCACTCAGCTGCCTCTGAGTTAGCTAATGCATTTACGCATGTTTAATAATATTTTCATTGGCTCCTACTCTACGAAGAGCATCTACCGCACCAAACTATGTTGATCTCAAGTTTCCTCCCACACAACATCATGAGTGTTGAAAGCCTCTCCTGAACAAAATGTAAATCACAATTGAAGGTCAAATTACGAAAGAAACTTTACGACAACGCAACATACTAGAAAGATCTAGGTTAGGACCTTGTAACCGGTGTAAAATAACAGCATGATTTGGTGACCAGATTTAACGAGCGTAAACGACTCATGACATTTTGGAAACTTCATGACTCAGGCAAGAAAAGCTCTTAAAAATGTGAAAAAGCACTTAATTAGGTAAATTCAGTGAATGGAAAAAGGGTGGAAAACGTCAGTTCATCGATGACAGGGTATTGTGATACTGGATCATAAATAGAGAAGTCGGGCTTCATGTTTCACGCATAAGTAAATTCCTCTTTTTTTTATCTCAACGCACGTTTATCACTTGCCCATGGTTGGAAACTCCTTAGGGTAACTAAATACTTACGAAGGTCGTCCCATGGTGTTATGGCTAAATATGTTTTTTTCAGCGCGAGGAGAAAAAAATCAAAGAGCGAACTGAAACAAGTGAGCTATCCACACAGAAACTATAGCAAAAAAAAAAAAAAGATAACATCCCAAAAACGTTTTGAGCCCTGCATTCGAATTTTAGGGTTTTGTTGTTTTCCCCACGCAAATTCATGGTAAATGCAACAACAGACCAACTGGTGGTGATGAAAAGGAAAAAAAAACGGATATAACAATACTTTTCCTAGCTGGAGGTCTCTGGTTGACACACACTAACCTTTTACCATTGGTCTAACGCCGTTTAAAGTACTCTTTCCAGAGCTATAAAAGCGCGTTAGGTTAGTAGCTTGACTGAACTATCCCTTATCTGTATAAAAGCATCCCGAAAAGCAAAGTCGCTCATCTGCCAGTGAAGCCGCTTCAAATTCCATTAAATAATTATTTGCTGCATATGCAAAATGAAAAACACGAGGCAGGAACTCTTCCAGCACCCCACCGTGTTTTAACGAGCTTTTTCATAAATGGGAAAGTTTTCTTTGTTAAGGAAATGGAAGATGATGAAGGTATTTTTCCTTAACAAGAATAAACGGTATTAAAGTCGAAGGGACAGCAAATTTAGGAAAAAAAAATATAACCACAGTGGAACGAAATAGAGGACATATTTAGGGTGGCAGGAATGCCACGGGATGGAATGGGGAACAAATCCCATCAGAAGTCACTTACACGAGAATGGGCCTCTCGCAATGTGCATACTTGAGGCACACGCAAATATGTGGTCGAATATCTTGCTGGATTTCAACATAAATTTACTGATTTTCATCTGTAAACACGGCTGAACGTTTAGGTAGTAAAAATTTTTAAAAAATGCGTAGGGGAACTTATGAGAGGGGTAGAGTTGTCGCCCCAGTCCTATCTCTCCTCCTCCTTAGAAAATCATGTCAGTTATAACCAGATTGCCTTGAAAAACCAGTTTTACCAGTATTCATTTGCTTACACAACAGTTATTTCCGGTATTAAAAGAATTAGTTCTTTGCTTACTGGCGCTGTTTTCTATAACTCTGTTTCGGAAATAAGTGGCAAATCTCTACTAACCCTTTGTTATTAATGCCTTTCACTCCTGACCCAGTCAAAGAGTTGATTTATTGCTAGTCGCAACTCAAACGCAATAGTCATTCGACACGTTTACAGACTTAAAGCAATCTTCTGTTCGCAACCTTTGCCGCGCTCAGTTTACATTCATATTTCATTACCCTTGGGCAGTCTTTTGTACATTGATATGCTTTTTTTAGCGACACAGTTTCATGTCGCAAGCTTAACCGACAGTGTTATAGCTGGATAACGACGTTTGAAATATTCTGTTTCCGAGAATGGTCTTTAATAATTTGGATGACGATATCCTCGAGGGCAGTAATGGAGGTCATGCGCACGGCATGCCATCACATATTGAGCAATAGAAAAACGGATCTTAGACCGGCAATGCTTTCCTAACAGACAGTGTTTCCAAGTGGGCCCTCTTCATTCGCAAACGAATCCAAACATTTAATGCAAAAATATCCAGACAACTTACCTTTAAGAATTAGCTTTACAGGCAAAGTACCTCGTCGTTGCTGTTTCCTCGTTGATCAAAAGGCAGCCACGTTTCACCTAAGCTTGTCGTACAGAGGCAAAATTGTTAACCGAAACGAAATCCTGCGACAATTATGGGCTTCCTTTTTGTCCTGGGTTTTAAATTGAGGGAGGGGGAGGATTTTGTTCGGTACAGAATCGATCATTAACAACCAAGGCCGAATTCAGAGTGTTGTTGGACCAATAGTGCGTGATTATTTGTGGGAGTTGTTGGAGGCGGGGCCTCATCATATTACAATAAACAAAGTAGAAAGCATGCGCAAGTCGTCTGAAACGATCCTTTTGCCAACAGCATTTCCGCAGGAAAAATTTACATATAATCTTTTACACGCGATTCTTTTACTGCGTAGTACCTTTTCATTACTGAGTACATGATAATTATCAACAGAGACATGTAGATTAATCGAAAATTATTATCCTTCCAACCTTCAACCTTAATGTTTTTAAACCTTGGCATTCGACATTAACTGATCTTCAAGGTAAATAGGACGACACAGCGGAAACGTCATATTAAAATACTTTTTAAAAAAAAATGGTGCGACTATCGAATGAAAAGCTTTTATTAGCTATCAAGGAAGGGAGAAAAGATTGTTTGGTGATCGCGTAGTTTTTGGACTATACCGTAAAAATAGAGCGAATGAAATAGGGTCCAGCTCTAATTGAAAGCGTGATCCTTTCTGCTTATCTTCATATGTGAGATGTTTTGCATTCAAGTGGGATAAACGATAAATTTATTGACAAGCTCGGCGGGAAGTTGGACGACGGATTCTCGTAAAGGAAGATTTAATTCGCTGTTTCACTCGCCAGGCTTGAAAAGGAAACAATTTCACTCACCAAGTAGGAACAAGAAGAGCCTGGCACAGGAAGTATTTACCGGGGATTTAGAACGTGCAAGTTGGCACAGACGTCACAGAGAAAAACTAATATCGTTCTGTCTTGGCGGTGGAACAAGGAATTTAACTTTTGTAGAGAATTTTGCCGATCAAGGACGCCTGTTGCGAAGCGCTATTTTGTTAGACGATGTTGCTCAAAATTAGTCAAGGCCAGGGTCATTTGTGCTATATTTCTTCTTTTGTGCTGAGTTTGTAACAATGGGTCTTTTATAAAATTCTCTAACGCGCGTGATGGGTCGATCTTCCTTTTTCCTTACGTGACCATTCGGGACCTCAGAGTCATGCTTGCCTGATATAGGATGGACTCACTCGGTTGTTCATTTCGTTATCCATCTATACAAGCAGCTATCAATCAGCCCTGTATTGGTTCGTCCGTTTGGTAGTTCGTTCTTTTGTCAACTCGCTCTGCTCACTTATTTATTTTGATTGAGGTAGTCATTCCTCTGCGTGTTTCTTGGTTCTTAACTTAGTTGGCGTTAGGACTTAACAAAGTTTTGTCAGGCCTTTACTACTTGTAAATCTTGTTGTTAATTAGTAAGGGACTTTTTACCGATAGTGAACTTGATTCGTCCCCTCCCCGCTCCCGCCCCCTTTTCCGCCCTCATCCCATCTCAAGGCATCCCCAGGGGTTTTTCGTATTCTTGTGTTACCCCGTAACATTTCATATACCTGTATCCCTATTCTAACTTGGGTGGGCTTTGTTGTGCCCGAAAACAATTCCAGCGTCATCGAGGATCCGACAACGCATTTCCCAAAAGACTAACAAACAGACCCCCACGATTAAACTAAGGAGACATTAGGTTTCTAGGTTTCGGTGAAAAGAAAACGAGTACTTTTTTTTATCCACTAATGCAATTTGTTTCCAGTATGAACTGATATCTCTAAGACATCGATCAAACAAGCTAGAGCGTAAAGCCGAGTATTAATTAACGGCTTAGTATTTAGAGTTTTGGCATGCTAGAAAACCTCACGAGTTCACCAAGAGAGCTGGCAATAAGCCTGTTAGTCCGTGGATAAACTCAACAAATCTAATTCCTCCTAACGTTTGGCATGTGGTGTTATTGTAGCTTGCAATTTTAGGAAACGTTTTCTCAGCTCACGTATCTGACTAGTTGTTGCAATGATTCTTTTGCAAGGGAAGCCATACTTGACCCGTAAATTATTTTTGTGTATCATATGTTCTTTTTCTTCTCTTCGCAACAACGGAAATATTTAGGTTACGAATTTTTCGATCATCAAAAATTAACGAAATGCGGATTTGCGAATTTTGAGTTGCGCGGGTGTGAAAACTGTAGCCATTAAAGATTGATTCAAGGGAGTTTTGCCCGAGGTACTCTTTTTGCTAGAGAAGCCGAAACTTCTAAAGTGGTGACATGTGCCACACGCGTAGCAATAAATCATCCCAGGCATTCCTGGAGTGTATTTTTGTTATTCTCATTATCGTTGGTGAGTTTGTTGTTGTAATGGTTGCTTTAAGTTTCAATGAAATGTCTAACCCGTTACAAAGGATGATGTTCTCGAACTGAGCTCTGTAGGAATGCGGAATTCTCACTGAGGTTTGGCGCACGTTGTAAATTACTCCCCAGGGGATTTAATTTAAAACCAGTCGATGCATGGTAAGCATTCTGCTCACGAAAAAAACATGATGTTAAAACCTCATCACGCACTATTTGGTATGCGTGAGCACCAAAAATAGAAACTGGAAAAACTATTTCTGGTTACGCCATAATTTCTGCTCTGAAACTCAAAGAAGCGGGGAGGAAACACAAGTTATTTATCTTTCAGACTGAGGACAACAAATGCTTAAAAATTGTTATTATTGCTAATGAAAGCCTCTCCGGCCGGAAAGACATAGATCCGTACAAAAGATGTTTTATGACAATCCAAGGGTAGACTAAAATAAATGCGACGTAATCCCTGATTATATAAAGTCATTGTATTAAAACGCCCTCTCAGCCGGAAAGATAGATCTTAGCTCAGACAAATTTAGAAGACAGCTACATTTACAAAAAAAAAGGAAAGAAAGCTTATGTATGGTTCGGCCAGTGCGATGTGATCCGTCCGAACTGTTAGTTATCAATGATGTTGTTGTTGTCTCTTATCAGTTATTACAGACGTAATTGATGCCAAAGCTATCGATATTTCCCGAGGGATAATGAATGCGCTCTATTGTGTACATATCAAGCATGCTCTTGTCGTGGCTAGAAAAGAAAGGGACAATTCTTGAGAGGAACTTTGAATCCAACAACGAATGAGAACCGAAAGTTATCAAAATAAGTTTGTGCTAGCCATATAGGCAAGATCGCTTACATGCTTAATCCTTTTCCTCGCCATACCTGCGTGGCTCACTTATCAGTGCCATCTTCACTTGCTTCACGCCGGCGAGATTCATTTTGTCCTTTGTTCAAGTGCACTTGTACGGTTAACCCTGTTCTTCTATAGGAACCAGAACTACCGATTCAATGTTACTCTTAAACAAGGCTTGGCAGATATCCCTGGGATTTGAGTCCATTTTTGACCCCTGGGTTATCTTTTTAAGTGGAGAGTACATGACAGCCCTAATAATTGGGACTATCCCTACTGGGAAACATTTAATCCTTTACATACTAACGTCAGTATGCATATTCTCCGTACTGTTCTCATTGCATTTCCTGAGGTGCTGATAAGGAGAATTTGTTTAACCATCAAGAGCTTCTTTTGTTGCTGATCATTTCCTTTATTCTCATGATCGTATAAGTGATTCTGAGGGGTTATTGTAAGGAGAAATTGTGTGTTAGTCAATCGTAGAGATAAAAGGTTGAAAAGGAACGTAACACCCTTTAGCTAATTATCTTTTCAGATTAGGAAAATGGCTCACCAACTACGAACTACCATTTATCTTGTTTTCTAACCGATAGTGAAGCTTCATTTTCTTAATATAAACACACACGCACAATCCACAATACCTCCATTCGCTTTGACGAAGGGCTAAAGCGCGATACGTCAGCTTTGAAACTCTTTACAGGGACTGACACCTACTACATTTTGAGATTATGATTTATTTGCCATATCAATTATCATGTACGTGGTAGCATTTGAGGATACTGATAACAGGCTGCTTGCTCTACATCACTGAAACAGTAAACATTGCATGCTCGCATTTCATGCAAGGCATAATCATTTATCTAGCTTGAAAGTTGAAAAAACGTTACATCTCACCAAACAAAAATCAATTCGTACTCAATAGGCATCAAAGTAGGCGAGCAATTGTGCATGTTGTTCATTCCCATATTCTGGTTCGTTTATATTTATCAATTTATTTTCCCCACTTGTTCTAGAACCTTTGCAAAACTTTGAATATCTTGGAAAAGACTTGTATCTTTATGAAAATATTATTATTCTATAACTGTTGAAAATGGAGGCACCGAGTCAAGAGTTAACTTATGTCACCTAAAGCAAAACTTAAGGTTGTTGTTTAAAAAAATTGCTGTGATAACTTGATATGTCAAGTGATAACGATACGGTGCTTCAAAATGCAAGGGTTTGTTTTTTATCAGCAGCTGTTATATAATGAAACACTGATCCAACGAAACACAATTGCTGTAAAGTTTCAAGGAGCTTCTTTGAGAAACACAAAAATATCAACAGAACGGGATAAGATATTGATTTGAGATAATATTCTGCATCTACGTTAACACGGACCACGCAGCTCAATTAAAAAAAAGCATTCAAACTCATATGGTAGCAGCGAAATGTGTGACAGAGTGGTTTTCTGTTTTGGTCGTTTTTTTTTCTTTTTTTCTTTTTCGCCTTGCAGATAGAAAATAAAGATAAGGAAGCAGTCATTATTTATCTCCAGAGGAAAAGGTTTGGAAATTTTGGGGGTTATCCCATGGTTCTCTGGGGAAAAGGAAGGGGATCACTCGTCGTCAACAGATTAGTATAAAAGGGGGGGGGGACTTTTACAAATTTACTGCCAGTGAGCGGGGAAGGGAAATAAGAAATTGCAGAGCCTTAACGGTGATCAGGTACATTTTATGGTAACACAAACCAGAATCCTCCAAATCCCCCTCCCCTCCCCTTCTTCTCCTCAGGCGATGAAAAATGACTGGTCCCTGAGAAAAGAGCGCAAATCACACATGCCTGGTTTAGCGGCAAACCGACAATTTGATGTTTCTGAATGCATATGGATAAATGCTCTATGTTTTATTCACTTTAAAACGAATACTTGCTAGTCCCACATCGTTTCCAGCATAGCACCAATAATATCCAAAGTCATCATCTTTTTTAGGCGTGAATGTCAGTTTACTTAGGTTTTCTGTAGAGTTCACACCGACTGAGACCTTTGCGCCTTCTCTGATCCACGCGAACACTGCCGGAGGTTTGGCATCAACTGCGCATGTCAGAGTAATGTTTTGACCAACTCTTGTTTGAACAGTAAGATTTGAACTAGCTTTCTGGTTGTGGTACGGTTTATCTAGTAAATATAATAAATGAAGCAGGATTAGTGAACACTTCACACGATGGCGCTACCTTCTCTCCTGCTGAGGCGAATTGGAAAATGGCGTGGGTCTTAGTGGACTTTTTTTGAGGGAGAAAAAAAAAAGAGGATAACTCAAACTGAAGCTAAGGAACGAAAACAAGAACTTATATCGTCTCAATCCTCAAGGATCATTGGGTTCATAACTTTAAACCACAAATCACGGTTGAGATGCGGGCGCCCATCTATGCCCATAACTCCCCAATATACCCGAGCTAAAACAAGGTAGCAAAGAGCAAAAACGAGAACCAATTTTGGCTCCACCCTCAAGTAACATTGGGTCCATAACTTTAACCCACAAATCACGGATGAGATGCAAGCGCCCGTCTATGCCCAAAACTGCCCAATATCCCCGAGCTAAAACAAGGTATTATAGGAAAGAGCTGTCCATCACTTTAGCTAGCTAATATATAGTATTATCAGTATTATCGATAAATGAAATGATTATTTTTTTTAGTATCCAACGAACTTGTTGAAAGATTTCCACTTATTATTATGACTAGATGGACATTATTTTGATATCTTCCTTTCCTGTACCCTTAATTTTCCTTGTTGTTTGCTATGCAATACTTATGATGTCAGTTCTGAAAATTTGGTATCAGATCAACTAATATTCCTCGAATGATATTTTTCCTTATTCTAGTCACTTTTCTACTTGATATCGTAAAGTGATATTCTGTCTTTGTTTTGAAAGGGTCGCTCTCCCGCTTAGCTGAACCCTTTAACTCCCAAGATCTGATTGTTAACTCTTCTCTTTAGCTGCTTCACATTTCCTTGTAAAGTAACTGGGACAATTTGGTGTTAGATCAAGGAAACAACTTTTCCCTAATTAGTTTGAGTATTCTCATTATCTACTTGCTGGAGAATGTATGGATATTATAGGGAGAAGTAAAATGTTGATCACTTCTGGGTTAACTAAGGCCAATGATGAAGCATTTACGGCACCCGTGCAATTGCCAAACGCCAAACCGAGTCTATGTTCACCGGAGAGGCCTTTTACGTTACCCAAAAGTTGACCGCCTAAAACAAATTCTAACTTAATCTGATGATAACAGAATTATATGCCATCCTGCGCGGGAAAAAACCAACAGCACTCTTTGGTGTACTTACAGCGCACGACCCTGACTAAGAAACCTTCCGACACGTTACCAGCTAGGTTCGTAGCCGTACAGTTGTAGGTACCAGCTTGGCTCCGCTGGATGCCTGAAATTCTGAGCACTGTGGCTTTGTTGGGCAATATCCTACCATTGTGCATCCACAACATACTCGGCACAGGGTTCCCAGTTGCTTTGCAGCTCAACTCTACCGTTTGTCCCTCTACACTATCTATAGTCCGGTTCGATCGACGGACGAGTTTTGGTGGATCTGTGAACATGAACGCAGAAAATATTTATTTCTGTGACTTATTGTAGCGTTTCTGAAGTGAATATTCATACTCCGATGGGATAATCATAAATTATTTCCTTAATAACCTTACTAAGTGCTTATCTAACCGCATTAAGTGATTGACTTTTAGAGTAATGAACAATAAGTATCGACCATGAAAAATTAAGACTCAAATAAAATTGGTTTAAAAGTGAGTCGCCCAATCCTAACGGTTACAATGCACGCTGGACTCCGCTTCAAGAGGTCCGAGTCCGAGCGCTAACTGGATTTTTTAGTCGTGTTCTCGGTCAAAGCACTTAGCTCCTGTCATGACCCTCTTCACTCAAGGGTATAGATTCCCAAACGCCCTTCCCCCCACCCGCTTATGCAGAGGGAGAAGATATTATCTTAGTCGCTTAAGCTTTTGGAACTGAGATAACTTCACGCGGCAAGGATCTCTTGACACATTTGCAATACTAAGGCATATACAATATACCGTCGGAGCCAAAATATTACGACTTGGCATCGCTGAAAAGAACCTTTAGAAAAAGTGAGATCAATTTCTCTCGTGAATGCTTGTGATCCACCTCCCCCAAAAACAAACTCAGGCTCATATCTGCGTATACCCATATGAGGCTTCTGTTATGGTGAAATCAGGAGACGGACATGAAAATTCGATAAGTACACTTATGTGTATTTGCAATGTGAAACACATTTAAAAAGCATTCGGAAAGCATGTAAAAAAATGTCAACCCGTCCAAACAGTGTTACCCCATGCCTTTCAACTAGTACTTGAAATCTGCATGCAAAAAGAAAAAGAAACACTAACACTCAGGCATGCCTCTCAGGACCTCCTTTTTTTCTTGAAAAGTTTTTAAACTCTGGCCCCCTGAGGAGATTCTAAGTAATAACTATGAGTGCTAGTTCCAAAATTTGATTGGGAATAATAAGTTAATTCTTGAGACAGAATATTCTGCTTGCACTTACCAAGGACGATAAGTCTTATTGGACTACTTTTGAAGGTCTCCCCGTACACTACCCCTATACAACCATACGTTCCGTCATCTGTGTAAATCGCATTTTTCAAGAGAAAATCTAGCTGACATCTTTCGCGGCTTAGTGTACCGGACCACACAGCTCTGGAGATGACAGAGCCTGGTACTTTTGGGTTGGACCAAACATTTTCTTTGCTATCAACCGTAAGGAATTTGTTGCCAATATTGCCATAATTATCGGTCTCTGCTCCCCAAAAGACTTGCTCAAAGTTAGTCCAGTCCTCCTCGCTGCCGAAATTGCATTCCCATCGGAAAGTGGCGTTGGATCCCAAGTCAACGAACAGGGTTTTTTCTGGCTCCTTCATAAACTTTGTCTCTGTATGAACTAGACAAAAATAAGCATATGTTATTTAAGGCTTCTCTTTCGTAGTGCAGCTAACAACGTGGGTCAACTTCTGAGTACATTCAACGTCGCTTCTCTCTGTGCCGTAATGGCATCAGGTGTTTTTCAGCTAATTTCAGTAGAATCCCCATATTTTGCTTTAGAAAGAAGCGATTAAGGGTGTTGCCACTCTCGTAGATGGGGCGCCAGTCCATTGCGGGTAACCCCTGATATTTTGCCGTTATTCATTTATACTCCCAGGGAGTGCCTTGCCAAAAAACAAGGGCGTGGCTAAGGATGGGGGGGGGGTCCTTGGGGTGCCCGTGACTCACCCACCTTTGTGAGTCTTTTTTTGTCACATTCAGTAAAACACGGCGTCGAGGTCGACATGACAATCTGTTGAGTACCCTTTGTTTGACACAGTATGACCTCCTCCCCCTTTGAAAAATCTTGGCTACGCCCCTAAGCAACATAACCTGATGACCCCACAAAGAGTCAATACCAGATTTATCGACTAGGAGTCCAGCCACCTTGTTTCCCATAACTCTACTCGAACTGAGGGTTACAGATATCTCTGCAGCTGCTTACAGATTCTACGTGTCTGTAACACATATTTTCTTTTCATTTTCCTTAGCTCCAACAACTGGAAACGTAAATAATGAATCGCGAGGGTGACTTACGGCCGGCAGTCAGGGTATGGTGAAGGATACAGCTCAACAAGACTGTTGCTACTTTAATGATCGCCATCACTTTAAATCCAATTTTGGTGGACAGAAAATCTATATCAACCTGGAAAGAAGAAACGGAACGGCCACACACATAAGTGACTGTATGTAATTACTTTAAAGCTGTTTAAGCACTGCAGTAGGCTGCACACTACTGACGCATGACAGGAGCCCATAGTAATGTGCTTTTGCGCTTGATGATTAGAACATCATTTTCCAAAAGGGATTTCCTTTCCCAATGATATACTATCTTTTTTATGAAAATATCATAAAGCTATATAAGCCCAGAGCTAGACTTGTGTAAATCTACATGAGAACAGCTGTAGGCTACACACTATTGACGCATGATGATAATACCATCATTTTCCAAAAGGGATTTCCTCTATTAATGATATACCACCCTTTTCATGAGACTGTTATAAAGTAAAATAAGCCCTGCGCGAGACTTATGTAAAGCTATATGAGAACAGCTGTAGGCTACACACTATTGACGCATGATGATAATACCGTCATTTTCCAAAAGGATTTCCTCTATTAATGATATTCCACCCTTTTCATGAGACTGTTATAAAGCTAAATAAGCCCAGCGCTAGACTTATTTAAAGCTATATGAGAACAGCGTTAGGCTACACACTACTGACACATGATGATAAGACCATCAGGCTATACTGCTGAATACCCTGCCACCATTTACATGTCACTGAACAAGAATAGCGTCTACTGTGTTATACCTGGTTCTTGAAAGCCTCACGACACATGTAAATGAGGTGGGCCAAAGTGGCAGGGTATTCTGCAGTTACTCCATGCCATCATTGTACAAAAGGGGTTTCCTCTATTAATGATATACGATCTTTTTCATGTAACTATTTTAAACCTATATAAGCACAGTGGTAGACTACTGTAAAGCTATATAAGCACAGCGGTAAGCTACACACCATTGATGCATGATAAGACCGTCATTTTTAAAAAGCGATTTCCTCTATTAATGATTAACTTATTTTTTCATGTAACTGTTACAAAGCTATATAGGCACAGTGGTAGACTGCACATTATGGATGCATGACGATAAGACCATCATTTTTAAAAAGGGATTTCTCCTTTTAGTGATCCTCTGTATTTCGTTTTTTCTACTGGTATTCATGAAACGGTAAGCCACCCATCAGATTTGAGACAAACACAACTACTCTTTTTTCTCGGTGTTTTGTTTGGGCCATGTACAGTGAAGAAGAGTGAGTCACACTAGTCATTAATATGTCACATGATATATCATCACTAATCACGCGATGAAAAATCTGTCAACAAACAATTGTTATGATAAACAATCAGTGAAAACAAAAGAGGTGATTCTACGCGAACCGTAAATGCCTGACTCAATAAAAAAAAAATTCATACATTTCTCAAATTCAAGTAATCTGACTCTCTGTTTACTCTGTAAATTTACTTTTATATGTTAAGGGATTTTAAAATAACCTCGAAGTTCAGTTTTATCTGATATAGCAGATAAAGCACGAAAGATAATTAGAGAACTTTATTGACATGCTTGCTAAAAGAAAACAAGGGAACTTTTCTGATATACTCATCTTTCGGTCGAATCTCTGCTATTTCCCTCTTTGCCACTGTTTTTTGTTAATGTAGATATATGTATGTATTTTTTTTTTATTATTATTATTTTTTTTTTTTACCTTTCCTCTACATTACATGTGGTACGATTGATAGTTTTATGAACCATGCATATGAAATGGAGGAGAAAATTTTCTACTATTGAGCGAAGATAAGTAATGAGTACAATTAAAAATTTCCGTCTCCATGTTCAAGCATTTTCGTTATTTACTTTTTAGGAAAACAAATTGAGAAAACTGTGGCAGATATTTATATCACACTTTCTCTCGCTCCAAGAAAATAATGCTTCTTCACGCGCGCGTTCTCGTCTTCTAACGGAACAAACCTCGGTCTTTAGCTCTTTTTCTTACGAGAATCTAAAGGTCCTCAACGATACCTTGGACTGGTCGATGCTTGTCACGCATAACATTCTTACTATCAGATTGTACTGACATGTTACGTTTAAATGGAAATCAGATAATTTACGAGAAGCTACACAAAGAATTTCGTCTCTGAAAAAAATCTCTGTCTTGAAAAGCATCAACCCTTAAGTTAACTCTTACCTTCAGTGAAACGCATCAATTTTAGCCTTTGGTGACTCCTTGCGACACAACGCGCAGAGTAAGAATAAGCTTTAAGGTGTTCGTGCCCTGATACAGGCGAACTTTGTCCCATCACTCTTTGGGGTAAAAGTATCTGTATGCGTGGCACCTGACAGACAGTAGGCAACCTGTTGAAAAAGATTAAACCAAGTAAGCTCTGAGCTATTCGGTTGATCAGTCGTCCAAGGAGAAACTGACAAATCGTCTCCTAGGTACATGAGATAAATCAAAGAGGAACAAACACTCAAAGCTAATACACACTGCCTTTTGGTTTGTTATCTCTGAAAAGGATTCATTCATACTATGGAGTTGAATCAGGTGGAGGTTGCACCATTGCAACTTAAAAACAAATATTTTTGGGGGTCCTTTGTGAATCAGGGAGATCTTTCACCGACCCAAGTGGCTGTCAATATTACAAAAAAAGACGATTGAGTGAGGTTAAGAAGGCTAGCGCTTTTTTGTAACAATCCTTGAAAATTGGACTCTTGCCTTCCGACCAAGGTTTGTAAATTTACGTCGCGATATTCAATAACTAATTATTTGAAGATAATGGGAACATATCACTCCTAAGATAGAGATGGAAAAAGCAATTTGAGCAGTGTAAAAGCTCCACCTTTCGGAAGTCCCGCAGGAAATGAGAAACTTGTGTGAATTGAAAGTTAACGTTCCCTTTTTTTTTTGGAACGGACTCTGGGCCGCGGGGGGCAATGTCTTCTTTCATGCGTTGGCAAGCTTATTGTTAATGGCCATTATAATGTCTGATACATTTCGAGGTTGTGACCCAAAGAGTTGGAAATTAAGGAGCAAAGGAGGAATACAAAATAGTACGTGCTCACGAAAACGAGAGCAAAAATATTTTTGTCAAGTGTCGCCTTCGTGACCATCACAATGACGTTTGATTCCAAATTCTGTCTATCAGAGAACTGAAAATGAAAGCACAAAAGATCCCATGTGAAAAATCATACACAGATCAATCACTCCTCACAAGTTAGGTCATCAAAGCTAAACCTGATGTTTTCAATAAAAAAAGGGAGCGGAAGTCAATGGCGGAGTTGTTTTCCGCAGAACCATTTTTTATTACGTACTCATTTTTACACACCAAACAAAAATCCGTTTTTAACTCTATTCATGTTATGTGATCTAAGTCTTTCCGGTAAAATTTTACTCATCCTTCTCCTTTAGTTACTTACAGCGACGTTACGTGATCAATCGAGCTGTAATTCAACTTTTGGGCACGCAACAATTTTAGAGGGCAGCTGCCCGTGAGCTATCGATCGAAATTTCTCCTCAAAAACGAGACCAAGTAGCAGCTCACTCAAAGGAAAGTCTTTCCACGTAGCAGAATCAATATTCGAGTGAATGTGTAATGCGGAATTATTCTATTTGTTTTAAAAAGGGGAGTTACAGCAAGATAGTCTCTGAGCCTTTCAAGTGAGAGCCATGTTTATGTCGCCTAAACAAGACAGAGGTGCTCCTTTAATTATTTGATGATCTATGTTTGGACTGCTCAATTAGGCCAACTGAGAAGGATAGCAACAGTTGAAACGACCTTGAGTCTTGTATTCCAAGTTCCAGATGAAATGTTCGGCCGAAAGTGATCTTCTGTGTTTAGAGAGAAGAAAAAGTTGGCACAAGAGGACATGATCATGTTACTACTCTTGTTATTAAGATTGAGTGACTGATTGATTTTGTTCGGTAGACTGATTTCTGGATTGTTTGGTTCATTTCATAATCTATCATCGGTTTCTTTGCTTATCTATTCATCGATTTATTCCATTGAATTGAATTGTTAATTGTTTGATTGATCGCTTGGTTGACTGATTGATTCATCAATTGTTTACCGACTTTTATTGGTTGATTTATACCAACATTGTTCAGTCATCCCATATTTTTACCATTTTCTCATTCATTTTTACTTTGAAGAGCTACAAATGGGGCAACCTCATCATGTTCCGTTAGTTGCTTCCTGAAAACATTTAAGATGTCTTGTCCACGATCACGACAAAGTGGACACAAAAACCGGCGTTCCTGCATAATTATTGTTAAATAACATAAAAATTAGCAAACTTATTTTGAAGACAGAAAAGTATGGAAAATGACGATTATATATTGAAACCATAGAAAGAGGTCTGGGGTTCCATAATCTTAACCTGGAAAGTAGAAACTTTGCTTTGGGTATCTTAATTTGCAACATTTTTCTCAGCCAAAACCAGTAGAGGATAAACTTTATTCTCCCTTGTCAGAACCTTTTCATGGCACAATTGGATAATTTTCATTTTTCACCCGGCAAACCTTTGCCAACCCTTGGGTTTGTAGAAAGGAATAGTTGCGAACACTGGCACCAGTCAACGAGTGAGAACATTCAACAGCAACGAAAGAAAACCCATTCTTGTTTTCTTTTGACTTGGATTATTTATTACTGCAGCAAATTTACAATCAATGTTTAAATTCAATTTACACAATATTTATCTACGAAAACAATGAAGAGATTTCTTAAACTTGTCAAGACTGATACATTGCCATTCTCTTGGTATGCGTTGCGATAGGTATATTTTGAGCTTATATGCCTTGAAGAGCATGTTTATAAGGATTAATATACAAACATGACTAAGTGGCTTGTCACTATGGTCGGCGAGAAATCAAAAAAAAGAAAACCAACTTTTTATCTACACTTTACAAATACCTGGTTGTCCCAGTATGATACAGTCGTATAATGTGTTTTTGTAAACTAATAGTTACAAGTTCATGTCTCGCTAATTACTGTAAAATGAAAAACTACCCCGAAATGCCAAATAAAAAAGAAAAAATTATAGCGTAATCGAAGTCGTGTTGTCACTACACAAAGTGTTACCGAAGTATTGAACATGCTACTTGAACCAGATCACTGAGAGATACGGACTCAGCTTGGTCGTTTGCTCAGTTATTAGCCTGAAAATTGGAAAAAAAAAGAGTAGAATTAATAACATCAAAATAGCTCAAGTTAGTTAGGTTTGATATGTAATATTTGGGCTTTTTATTGCGCTTTTGATTAACATGCGAACTGTGAGATTCAGAGCAAAACTTACGATTTCCTCTTGTGTTATCGTAAATTATTGTACGAGCGGCCATTTTGTAACTGCGAAACACGAAATGGAGCGAGATCCTTTAATTTCAGTCAAGCAAGGAAAATGACTTTTTAAAGCCCGCTTAAACAGCGCGCATGCCTCTTCAAAGGTCTGCAACATTGCTCAGGGTTAGGGTTAGTAAATTCAATGTAACGTAAACTTCATTTTCAATTATTCATCAATAATTTCATCACTCGCATGTTAATGAATGCTCATCGTGATTGATGAAAAATTATCAGAGATGCAAAATGCCAGCAGACACTAACTTTAAGTGCGGTCCTCTCCTAATCGGCTCCAAAGGTTGGTTATCCTTATTTACAGTCTTAAGATGGCAAAAGCGATCATGTCTGTTCTCATGCCAAACACTCTCAGCCACAAAGACGGAGCATTCCAAGATGGTTGGTTAGTTTCCCTGATAGATCTGCGGCACCATTTATACTCTTGAGTGTGAATTTGTGAGAGCACCGTATCCTACCCAAAATTAATCTTAAAACATACACTGAAGTGATAGCTTAAATGGGTAACAGAACTTACCATTACGTAACTGTTAAACGAAATGGTTGGCTAACTATGTCTACTCCTGCAATGTCCGCATCGCAGCCATAAACGAAGTTTCCATCCGATCGCTGCACATCCGTTAGAGTGAATTCCAGCTTGCACCCGGTTGAACTGATGGTTCCAGAATAACTAATCCGACCTCTGAGACTCTTCGGAAGCCTCTTATTGATAAACAAAGAAAGGATGCCCTTTGTAACGGTTATGTATTTGTTGGTTACGTGGCCGCTGTCAACTGTCCCCCAGACAAACTCATTAAACTCGGTCCAATCCTGTCTGTTTCCAAATTTAAATTTCCAGACAAACGTCACTGAATCATTCACAGCAACATTGACATTGACTGGAGGTGTGGCAGTAAACCGTGTGTTAGAATGGACTGAAAGAAAGAAACAGATGATTTTCAAAGACTGTAAATATAAAAAAGTATTCCAAAACTACCCAGTTGGGCTACAGTATCCACTCTGAGTATCACTCTAACGTACTTTCACGTACTCTTCTTGCATAACCAGTGCCATCATTCTTAAAATGCACTGTGCAGTGATCAACAGAGGTGTCACCTGCGAAAACTCAAATTTTAGTGACAACTAGTGGTTTTTTCTTTCTATCCGGGTCTTCAAGGATGTTTTAAGCATGTGAAACTGGTCAACATGTAGACGTTTGGATGTCAGTTCCTTCGAATTTCACTACAGGAGAAGTTAGTAGACAATAAACTTTTCTGTTATCTGCTGATCTCTAAATCTTGCTATTAGATCTAAGCTGTCGAGACCCAATCAGGTCTGAAAAGCTCCCCACTCTCAGTCCCTACTTTATCATGATGAGTCATGCGTGATAGTTTTCAGAAGTGTTTCATTTATTATGGTCAGCCCCTTTATACCTCAGCTGCCTCTGCAACCGTTGCAATGTAGCTGATATTGGCGAACTTCATTGGCAGCTGTTTTCTCATCCATCTCATCACGTATTGTGGAATAAACATGTTTTCTTTTACGTAAAATCCCCGTAGAAACTTCGTTTTATTTCAACAGCCCAAAACAAAAAACAAAACAGTATATAAGGAAAACTTACCGCCGTAGACAAGGCCAAAGGTAGAACAAAGCAGAAGAACAGAGGCTCCCAGTGTAAACGACATCTTTGTGAAAGTTTTTCAAATCTCTGAAAAATAAAAAGGAAACGAAATTAATTAGATGAGTTTCTGAACTTTCTTAAATTGATAAAAGTAAAGATCAATACTTGAACGTTCATTGGTCCAAACCCATAAATTTGGGTGGCTACTAATTTTGTCTATGACAAAGACATCATGCATGCCACTTCAGACCACGCACCAAACATTTTGTACTTTGAACCCGCGTCACATTTTATACTTTGAACCCTCTGTGTTTGCATTTCAAACAGAAATAATTTTAATCGTCTTTTAATAGCAGACGGTCGCCTTTTGGATCACTTCACTCGCTTGTATCGAGGATGATGGTAGCCAGTAGTACTCTTCGAAATGGAAGGATGTTCAAGACACTGGAAAGTGTATACGGGAAATTAGTTTTGAAAATCGTGCTTGGAGATGCACGAGAATAACACTGTCTAATGCAACAGGAACCTTACTCAGAGAAGGAAAATGGGTTGCATTAGGTGGAGCTCATAAAAGGACTTCATAAAAATCATTCTGCTGAAAAGGAATGGAAAATTCTCGAGCGAGATATTCTATGATGGAACTTAGAACCTCGCTTAAAGTTTTGAGTACGGCAGGTACATAATTTATGCTCGTACCTTTATTGTGCATTTTTCATACATAGGAATCGTCTTGAGAGAGAAATATAGAAACAATTTTTCATATTTGACAACTTTCGATAATCACCCCGCGTCTCTTAAGAATAATACTGTTTTTTTTCATTTGTTTACTAACATAAGTACGCACATGCAGTCAAGTCAGCCAAGTTGTTAGGGAAAAAAGATCTCTGACAGACGGGCGATGATTTTAAATCAATGATTTCGAATAGAAGTTAAATAAGCCTTTCTCAGTCATACATTCAGTGTAGTTGGTGAAGATCTTTCAAACATTATCAGGGTATGAATTGGTCCTCGTTTATGGGTGACCTCAATTACACAATAGACCTTGTGCCAAAAGATTGTAGCGGCGATATTCCCTGCTTTTACTCTCAAATGACTGCATCAACACTTAACTCTGGCCGCTCTAATACACGGTCATAAATTAATGTGTATGATTGCTTACTGGTAGTTATATTCTTAGTCAAATTCCAACCGCTACCTTTATTCTCTTGTAGATTACTGTGTGCGTCATCACAAAATATTTTAAAGATTTGAAAGTCTGGGCACTGTACCAAGGTTAGTCAAAGCACTCTATCTTTTACAAGCAAAGTCAATTGACTCTTATATGGTTACATTTCGTTCTACGAGTTGTCATGGAATCTATTAAGTAAGGAGCGTAAGGTCGAAGTATTTTTAGGCTCAAATGAGGTTTCAAGAGGTTAATCACAGAGAATTACAGTTTATTGAATTAAGACATCTATCCTAATACCTTTGAATGTTTGATTGCCACTAAAAATGAAACATTCACTTGGTATTTTGTTTGTTTGTGTTTTTTCTTCTGTTTTATGCCATGTTGATTTACTTTTCCATAGGTTCTGTTTTTGTTTGGTTTTTTCCTCGATTAATTTCAATAATTCTTGATATTTCAAGTGTATGCATTGTTAAAAATGTTTTGGTCTCAGTCGTTGACGTGAAATTTGTTCTTGTCTCGTACGTTAGTGATGTCGTTTCGCCGTTTATGACATTTACGAAACGATGACTTCATTAATGTATCATATTTGCATTATCTTTGTGGTGAAAGCCTATATCGCTGTTTCAGATTTACCGATTTTCTTGAATGGCGAATGGATATTGTTGCTGTCGTATTCCTTCAAATATTGTGGTTTTGACCACAACTCAGGTTAAAACACATAATCAGAGGAAAACTCCAGTAATTTGACAGAAAAGTAAACACTCTTATTATCCATTGAAAATACATTTGTTAATTCATTTCTTACTGAGCTTGGACATGTGTATTACATAACTCGGATGTTTCATCTTTTCCTTAGCCAACACACAGGTTTATTTGCCCTCTAGAAACCTCTCATCAGATTAAATCGGACAACATTGTAATGCTATACAGCGAGAAATGCATAGAATAAAAATGTATGGTTGCAGATAGCAACGAGATTCGAACTCAAGGTATTTATTTCCTTAATTGAATAAAAGTTCGTTCAACCTTTCTCCTTATTTAAAGAGAAGCGAATACCTCAATAAGCGAAGATAGTGAATTACAACATTTCAAAACGATGTGAACCTAGGACAGATAATTCTCCAACTTTTGGAAAAAAAAACAAAGCAAAATA